ATTTTGAAACATCTTTTGGACCTTGGAGCCAGATATCCTGGTTCAAATTCCAGCCAGCCATTTAGCACCTGTATGACTTTTAGCCAGTTACTTACCCTCTCTGTGCCTCATTTTCCTTTTCTGTAAAAAGGAGGAAATAATAGCACATACCTCACAGGTTATGATGATGATGATGAGTTAATGTATAGAAAGCAGTTAGGACTGTGCCTGGCACATGGCAAATACCATGTTAGTGTGAGCTGTCATCACTATTATTAGGCCATTATTATTGAATAAGGGGACATCTGTTCAGGTGAATAAATAACTTTGGTAGCAAATTTGCAGCTGCCTGAGGGTCTCTGTGTGAATGCACCTGCATTTATTTAAACTCTACTGTTAGGCATTTAGGTTATCATTTCCAGTTTTTCTTTTTCTTTTATTAACAACTATGGGATAAGCATCTTTGAACAAGTACCTCTGCACACATCTCTATTTATTTGTTCCTAAAACTTCAAATGCTAAGTCACCGACCACACAACTTGCCCTTCATAAAAGTTGCACCTGTTACCCTCATATGCACAGTGGAATGGCTTGCTTGTCACCCCACGCTCCTCACCAGTGGCCCTGGGCACACTCATTGGTCTGCACACCTCTCCCCTCCTCCAGCAGACCATACCTCCGACTCATCTGTGTCCCCACACCTACCATGACATGCCCCAGTGAAGCAGTAAAGTTTACTGAGATGGGAGACCTGGAAATGAGCATTCGGGCTCTGATTTTCAGCCTCCTGGGGTAAATCTATGCTTCACTGTCCCTCACATGTAAAATGCAGGTCAACACACAAGCACTATTTAAATGAGTCGATGCAACTGTGTGAGACGACAAATGCCATGCATTAAAATGACACCAAAATTCCAGACAGAAAAAAGTTTTGCCTTTTAATCACACATGAAGTATATTTTTTAAAATTTCCAACATCCATTACTGAGTCTCCCAAGAGCCCGCTCCAGGGCCCAAATCTGCATTTTAAGATCTCTCTGACTCCCCGCCACTTTGGAGACAGGCTATGTTGTTTGAGAACAAATGAACAAAAATTGTCACCTTTCTACTTGCAGACAGATTAAGGTCCCACTTTCTCATGTCACACCGGGAAACAGACAAACACCCACTACAAAGGCACCAAGAGCCTGCTCTCTGAGGACGGCAGGAGCGAGCCTGTGGGTGGGTCGGCGCGCTGGGCTCCTGCCCACGATGCCAGTGACGCAGGGCCATGGTTCCCACCGAACTGACGAGGAGACCTCGGTTTCGGAGAAGTTAAGAATTTGCTCGGGTGCTGAGAAGAAGGGTGGAGACCCTGAAATTCACATCCCCTGATTCCCAAATCCCTGCGCCGCACCCCTCCAACCTGCAAGACACTGAGAGAGTCTAGGAAATAAATAGGTCACCTGTGCAGCCTCTGGGGACAGCCCCTAACACCTCCCCTCTTCTCTCCAGAACAAAAGGACACGCTAGGCTGGGCATGACAACTGATGGGCATCCTTCCAGCCGTGTTTATGGGGGGCATCTGGCTTTCCTTACCTGGTGTTGGAGCTGTGGATGGCTGGCCAACACGTCCCAACCCCAGGTGTCATGCCCACCTCATCCCATTTGATGGGGACCTAAGGCCTAAGCAGGGTGCCCCAGAGGCCCATCTCAGGGAGGCCTGCATAGTGTAGAGAACCCGGAGAAGTAACTGGAACATCCCAGAGGAAGGGCATCAGGTGACTGGAGCTCAGGGGGAGGGAGAGGCCTCAGGACACTGAGAGGCAGCTGGGGGACGACAGCCCCACCACTGCCATTTGCTGACCACCTGCCTGATGCCGACTCAACACTTAAACAACTTTCACGTCTGTAGCTGAAAAGCATGACCTGGTGGGTACCACAATGATCCCATTTTACAGATGAGGAAAGTGAAATGCAGAGCAGCTATGAGAAGGGCCCAAAGCCAGGTAACTGGAACTCATGGGGTGGCCCAGGGCTCGGGATGCAGGTAGGAAACCCAGCTCCACCTCTCCTCAGCTGTATGAGCTGAGGAAGTGACTGGCCTCCTTGGTAAAATGGGCACGATGATAAAACGGGAGACTGAAAACTAGAAACGGCTAAAGAAATGAGTTTAACAGAAAGGTCCAGCGAAACCATTTACTGCTGACGTAGGGGCAGGGAACCAGAGACCTCTAAGAAATGATCCTGGAGCCACAGCTGGTGGGTGGGCTATGTGAGCCTGGGCTCAACCGACAACCACTGAGCACTCACTGTATGCCTCACCGTAAACTGGCCACCACCGACTATGACCTCACCAGTGGGCAACACAGGTCAAAATCTCACGGGTGTGAGCAGGGATAGAGGAGGGTGGGATAGATCCACACTTCCTAGTGGCTGACCAGCCAGGGCAGGTGGAGTTCTCCATTACTGGAACAGCCAAGATCAAGGAACCAGAGGGGACATGAAGCCCGACAGGTGCCCCCCAGGGCTAAGCCCCAACCAGGTGTGTCACCTGCGCTCTCAGTGAGCCACTCCAACTCTCAGAGGGAGGTGACACTAGTTTTATTTCTAAGAAGAGAAAACTGGAGCCAGAGAGGTTTAGCAACCTGTCTGAAGTCACAGGCAGCAGTGGGGCGGGGACTTGAATCTAGATCTGTGGGACAGAGACGAGGACAAGGAGGGAGCTGGTGGGGGGCTGCAAAGACAGCAAGACAGAGACTGAGCACATGCACTGTCTTCCAGGCCAAATGTGATCAATGACAGTGGCCAAGGGCTGAGAGAGTCTGCCAGAACCATGGGAGCCTGCCTGATGAAAGAGGAAGGGCCCTGACCCCTGTGCCCACAGGATGAGGGTCCCCATTCAGTGTGGGGGACAGTCTAAAGCCTGGACTTCCACTGCAGCCTTGCACATGCCCCCTGAGAGTACTGCTCCTCCAGGCCCTCTGGGGCTGGAAGAGGAGGAGGGGAGGATCCAGAATTTCTGTCCTGCATGCAAGGCTCTAAATACCCACGAGGTCAGAAAAACTTCCCCTTGGGGGATTAACAAGTTGAGCCGACAGTGCAGTTCCCTTTGAAGTCAAGTGGACAGGCCTGCCTCAAGCAACTAGAGGGGGTGCCAGCCCTGTGGCTAATGGCTCAGATCTGGCCCCTCTGAGGACCTGGCCAGTGTTTCCAGTGTTCCAGGAACAGGCCCCCACCTTCCCCTCTCTGTGAGCCTGCAGGACAAGAAGCAGTCAGCCACTGTTGCTTTATTAGGCACTCACAGCCTGACCTACCCCCAAACACACACACACACACACACACACACACACACACACACACTCTCTCTCTCTCTCTCCGCCCCCTCCCTGGGCCCTCCAGCCTCCACTTGACTCCACATCACTCCCAGTTCAAGCCTCTCTCACACACTAGGGCCTGGACATAAGCCAGTCCCTCCATCCTTCAGCCTGTAATGTCACCTCCCTCTCCATGAATAGAAATCCTGTCTTTTAGGGTGTAGTTCAAACACTGCCACATCCTCAAATCTCTCTGTTCCACTCTGCCCGCACTCAGACTCGGGCCTGCGGTTTCCCTTTCCTGGCCCCTTCCTCCTGTCCTGTCTCTCCACAGCCCCTTCCACGGAGGCCACCTGTGCCTGGGAGAGTGTGTCCCACCCTTCAAACCTCTGCCCTCTCGTCCTGGCTCCTTCCTGCCTCCTCCTCCTCTGGGCACAACCAGTGTCCTCTGTGGACCTCCAGCCACAGCATCCTGGATGTGGTTTCCAGACTCCAGAGGGGCTGCAAGCCCGAGGGTCCTCCGTCATCAGGGTCCTATCTAGCTGCCCACTTCCAGGCAGCTGGCCTCCACTCCCAGCAGGAAACTTCTCCTGGGAGAGGAGCTCAGACTGTCACGGGAGCGGGAATAAGAGGCCATGGTCGGGAGCTCCTTTCTTAGGGGGACTGAACGACACTGATTGGAGGGCAGGGGCTCGAAGCTTCCTTTCCCCTTTCGGGGACCGATTAGAAGCTCGGCCACTCGGAAACTCCAGAAAGTCGCCCTCTGACCCGCGCGCTCCACCCGCCCGGACGCTGGGGACTCCGAGAGCAGAATGGGGTGGGGCCGGGCTCCCCACAGGAACATGCAGCGCATGGGCTAGGAATCGGCTGGCATCCGCACCCCCTCCTCCAGCTCCAGCCGGAGCCGCCCAAACCCTGTGCGCCGCGCCCCGCTCCAACTCGGACGGTAGCGAGGGGCGAGGGCCGGCGGAGGGCCAGCGGTACCTGTCAGCAGTTCGATCTTGTGTCCCAGCACCTTCATCTCGGCGCCCGGCCCAGGGGAAAGGACCGCCGGAGGCGAGCAGCTAAGTAGCGGGAGAGCGAGGGGAGCGAGGGGAGCGAGGGGAGCGAGGGGAGCGAGGGGAGCGAGGGGAGCGAGGGGAGCGAGGGGAGCGAGGGGAGCGAGGGGAGCGAGGGGAGCGAGGGGAGCGAGGGGAGCGAGGGGAGCGAGGGGAGCGAGGAGGGGAGCGATGAGCGCAGCCGGAGCGCAGCCGGAGCCAGGAGCGCTCTCGCCAACCCCCACGCCGCTTTTAAAAATCCACCAATTGGACGACCGCGCACCCCTAAAAGGCGCCCGCCGCCACCTGGTCGGGGTGCACTCCGGGAGGCGGAGGGAGCGCACGGGGTGGGTGTGGTGACACTCGGGAGGCGACAGGAGGGGGCCCTTGCGCCCGCCGCCAGAACAAAGAGGCTCCGCCACCCGGTGTCATGGTGGGAAAGGCGCGGGCGGCGGCTGGGTCGTGGCCCCTCGGGTCCCCGTGTCTGGCTGGAACGCGAGTGGGGAGAGCCCGGGGGCAGCGGCGGAGAGGGTGCTACCCTCGAGTCGGCGAAAGGTGGCCCGGCGACAGAGCGCCCGGCTCACAGGGTCTGGGGTCGTGCGCGGCGGCTGGGCCGGGGCGGAGGGTTGGCCGCGGCCGCAATGGCAAGGGGACCAGGAGAGAAGGGCCGAGGGCGTCGCCGACTCACCGACTCACCGAGGGCGATGAGAGCGAAACGGGCGCGCGGGCGGGGAGTAGGGCTTCGCCGCCGCCGCCGACGCGCGGGTGCAGGTGTCCGCGGCCGGGCCCCCGCCGTGCGCCGCAGCTGGTGGCGGAGGCCGGCGGCCGGCAGGGGCGGTGCGCCGCGGGGGGCGTGCCCACGCGGAGTGTGGTGGACGTGGGCGCTGGCCGGCGGGGGTTGGTTGGTCCCAGGAGGCCGTCACCCGCACTCAGCTTCTGCCTCCTTGCGCGGTGGGAGTGCCGGTGGGGGGATGGGCAGGCGGGCGAGCCGAACACCGCGACTTGGAATCCTAGCGGAGACCCTCCAGTGCGTCCCCACCCCTCCCTTCTGCTCCCCACCTCCCGCAGGCGCCGAGAGGAAGGGTCCCCGCCGCTCAGACGTCGCCGGGTGAGGAAGGAGGCCCCGCCCGCCCCTTCTGTGCCCTTGCAGCCGCGTGGCGTCGGGTTCCCGGGGGAGGGGGCGACCTCTGCTGCCGACTTTGTTTAGATTACCAAGGGGAACCCCAGCTCGGTGGAGGAGCACCTTTCCCTTACCCTCCCCTACTTGGGAACCGCTGGGGAAAAGCCCTGGAGGGTCAGGAAGAACCAGGCTCCTTGGGTCGTCTCCGGTTTTCAGAGCCCGAGGGTTTCCTTGGAGAACTCATGCGGGAGTGACCACCTCTAGGCAGAGATGTTCTGGGCCCTCAGCCTCCCCCACCATGCGACAAGGTCCTTGCTCCCTTCAGTTCACCTCCACTCTCTGAGCCGAAAGGGAACTGGGAGGCCCCTCTCATCCTCAGGCTTACTCTGGTCTGGCCCAGTGCCGTTGCTCCCACCTGTCACCCCAAAGGAGAGAGCGTCAAAGTCCCTGGATAAAGCCTGCTTTCGGCAGAATGGAAATCTGATGACCAGAAAATATTTACTTGGGCAAGACAACTCAAGAGGAGGGCTCCTGTGGCCCGGGTTCTTTTCAGGCTCTGCCAGTGACCTTGGGCGGGGCCTTGCCCCTCCCAGATTCCAGCCCTTTGGTGTAGAGTGAATGTGTTGGACCAGGTCATCTGGGAGGTCCAGGATGGCAGTGGGGTGGGCGGTCAAGAGAATTATGCAGGGCCCTTTGCTGACCCCTTATCTGGGCTGGTTTGCGGAGAGGCCATGGAAGCTGATAGGAAGGAACCGGTTCACTGGTGTTGGTTGAGGAAGCTGGTAAGGTTTGGTGGCCCCAGATGGGGTGCACGTTCCTGCTTGAGGGGACATCCTTGCCTCTCCATTTCCTATTCTGTAAAGGGGATGGGAGGAGGTCAGTGGGGACAGAGTGAACTTCAGTGTCCAAAACATCCAGGAGGCTGTTTATACACGCGCGCGCACACACACACACACACACACACACACAAGTCTGGAGCCAGTCCTTAAGAACACAGACTGGTTCTACAATTTCCTGGCTGTGTGGTGTCCAGTAAGTTACTTAGCCTCTCTGCGCCTCCTTGTTATACTGGGTGAAATTGGGGTGATGCCGACCTCAGAGGGCTCCTCTAAGAATTAAATGATGGAACATAATATGTTCAGTATAGTGCCAGGCACAAGGTTGAAGTGTTCAGTAAACAGTCACCTTTATTATTATTATTTTTTTTAATTTTATCGATTTTAGAGAGAAGAAGGGAAGGGGGAGAGATGAAGAAGGAGAGAGGGAGGGAGGGAGGGAGAGAGAGAGAGAGAGATTCATTGTTTTACTTATGTATGTTATCAATGATTGCTTCTTATGTGTGCCCTGATGGGAGACCAAACCCGCAGCCTTAGTGTATTGGGATTGCCTTTATTAGTGATGATGAAATTGTTATTACTGCATTAGAGATTCTTTCCTGAGTTCTACCCTTTTCAATAACTTCAGACCTAGTCATTAAACAAAATGAATTGTTGATGTTCTAGTGACATAATCCACGAGGCCTAGCCTGTTCTGACCTCTCAGGGGAATGCAGGCCGGGGGATGTATAAAGCTGCCTAACAAGAGCTTTGAAACACTCGTCTGTTCAGTGTGGACCGGCTTCTGCCATGGCCTTGAACGAATGTGGACAATCCACTTGGCTCAGATAAGTAACGAACTCCAAGTGAGCGTTCAAGTGGTTGAGGTTGTGGATTTGAACCCTAAAACTGGAGACAATAGATGATGACGAAATGTGGTTGTAAGGACACCCCCTCCCCCCTTCTGTGGCAACGGCAGCAAATAAAGGTGCTCAGGAAAGAGGCAGGTAGAAGGGCTCTGGCCCCTTCTGGAGGAGTCCTCTGGGAGTTAGTGGAAGGGCAAGCTCTTAGTCCTTCCTGCTCCGGGCTCTTCATCCCTGTGTGGGGCATGGTGTTTGGGGACAGGCTGGATGGCAGAATTTTAACAGAGGAAAGAGCTAGACCAAGGGCCAACCTGTTGGCTGGGACAGGGCGCCTCTAAGACATGTGTCCTCGGCCTTGCTCCCGATTACCTGAAGGATGCTGCCTAAGTCACACGTTCTCTGTACTTCTGTTTCCCCATTTGTAGAATGGGCAGGAGACTGGCCTGCACCTCAGCTGGAGAGGAGACACCACCTTTCTGAAGATCTCTCTGAACCTTCATTTCCTCACTGGGAAACAGGCTAATCTACCAGTCTGGACAGTGGCAGGAAATAGTAGACCTGCTCTGGCTCGTTTAAGCAGAAAAGGTATTTGTCAAAAGTGGGGTGGGCAGCTCTCAGGATCTCAGGAGTCACGCCCAACATTGCAGCGTTGGTCCAGTGTCAAAACTACTGCCATCCCTGGGTACAGACACCGCAGCCACCACCACCCCTGGGCGCGGCGCAGGACCCTGCCCTCAGGACCATGGCTGCCTCTGAAGCCCAGTAGGGGGTACCATTGCTGCACCCTTGCCAGAATGCAGTCTGTGTGGTCTCTGCTTCCTCGGGTCACCAGGTTCTAATTCACAGTCAAGAATGGGTGTGTCTGCATTTTGAACAACCTGGATGGATCTTGAGAGTATCATGCTAAGTGAAAATAGTCAGCTGAAAAAGGACAAGAACCACATGATTTCACTCCTATGTGGGCTATAAAACAACAAATGAACAAAAAAACAATCTCATAGATACAGATAACAGAACAGTGGTTATCAGAGGGGAAGGTGGTGGGGAAGAAGAGGGTAAAGGGGGTCTAATATATGGTGACAAAAAGAGACTAGGCTTCGGGAGGTGAGCACACAATAGAGTATACAGATGTTGTATTAGAAAGTCATAACCCGGCCGGTGTGGCTTAGTGGTTAAGCATCGACCCAGGCACCAAGAGGTTGCCAGTTCAGTTCCCAGCCAGGGCACCTGCCCAAGTTGTGGGCCAAATCCCCAGTGGGGGGCATGCAGGAGATGGCCAATCGATGCTCTCTCTCATCAATGTTTCTATCTCTCTTCCTCTCCCTTCTCTCTCTAAAATCAATAAAGAAAAAAAAAATTTTTCTTAAAGAGTCTTACACCTGAAACTCATATAACGCTATCAACCAATGCTATCCCAATACATTTTATTTTTAAAATAGAATGGCATGTCTGATTGGAGGCACCCAGATCAGGCACTCTGCCAAAGCTGCAAGGGAGGCTGGGCAAAGGTGTTCTCAGTTCCTCTGTGGCAGGTGGGCTCTGTCCCACAGGAAGGGCATGTCAGATGCTGGTGGACAAAAGAGTGACCCGTGCCCACTTCAGGTAACAATGGACTTATGAAACTGCTCTGTGATTTCACACATGGGCACTCATTCGGAGCGAGGCACGGAGGGAACACATGATTTCTGGCTGCTGAGATTCATGCCACACCACAAATCCGGTGTCAACTGGCCGTGCTCCTTCATACTCGGTCTTTGTTTCCTCAGCAGGTGAAAGACGAAGGGACCTTGAAAACAGGAATGGCATGCTGCCCTTCCAGATGAGAGCTCCGACCCAGTGCCAGCAGGACAGGGGCCTGGGTTTTTCCATTGTGATGATGAATTGGGCTGAGTCACCATGCCTCTCCAGTCCCCTCGTGACCATGACTGAGAGCAAATGAGAAAGAACTCAGAGGTGGGGTCAAAGTGCAGATGGGGACTTGGAAGCTTCCTCTCTTAGCAGGGAGGGGAGGGCAGGAACTTCCCTCCTCCCCAATAAGACTCCCCACTCACTAATAATGAGTCACACGGCCCCAGGGAGAGGAGAGAAGGTCCTTTCTCATCTTTTGTGGGGTTGGTTGAGTGCCTCTTTGGTGCCAGGCCCTGCCTGTGCCGTGGGGTGCACTGGAGGGTCACAGCTGACCAGGGCATTGGCCTTGCCTTTAAGGCTTATGCCTGGATGAAGGAAACCAGCTTAGAGTCCCATAATGCAGGTAGTGGACAGACTCTGCTAAAATGTGTAACTGAGGTTCCAGCGGGGGGTGGGGGGTGCTGGAGGAAGCACCTACAGGGAGGTGGAAAGTCAGTAGATGGAGATGGGAAGATGGAGACTGGGGGAGAGTACCGTCCATCCATCATCATACATTGGGTTAACTGAGTTAAGATAGCCAGTGTTAACATGGTAACAGTTAGTCCTTCAGCCACGCAGAGACTGAAAGCGGGGTATGTGGGAACAGTGACCTGGCACAAGCCCCTACCAGCTCAGGCTTCACACAGGGTTTGGCACCAAGTGGAGGATGAGTTGTGGGAGCCGGGCACGTGGTTTTGACAGCAGAGAGGTAATGCAGTGTCAGTCACTGGCCTTGGGGAAATGCTCATGCGGAGTGGTTGCAGCTCCCTGTAACTGGTGCCCTGAACCTGAAGATGGACATGAACCAGAGGCTCCAGAACTGCACAGTCGCATGCCTGGGGCTGCACTGTCTTAGTGCAGGCTGCCAAAACAAAAGTCCACAGACTGGGGGCCGGAATGAAAACTTCTCATCGTTCTGGAGGCTGGGAAGTCCATGGTCAAGGTGCCAACCAGGTCGGTTTTATTCTGAGGCTGCTTCTCTTGGCTTATAGGTGGGCACCATCTCATGTGACATCTTTGTGTGCATGTAGAGAGGTGAAGGGTTGGTGGAAG